ATGAGACAGTATGAGAGTTTAGTGTGTTAGAATGAGACAGTATGAAATAGTTTAGTGTATTAGAATGACAGTGTGAGATAGTTTGGTGTATTAGAATGAGACAGTATGAGATAGTTTAGTGTGTTAGAATGAGACAGTATGAGATAGTTTGGTGTGTTAGAATGAGACAGTGTGAAATAGTTTAGTGTGTTAGAATAAGACAGTGTGAGATAGTTTGGTGTATTAGAATAAGACAGTATGAGATAGTTTAGTGTGTTAGAATGAGACAGTATGAGATAGTTTGGTGTGTTAGAATGAGACAGTGTGAAATAGTTTAGTGTGTTAGAATAAGACAGTGTGAGATAGTTTGGTGTATTAGAATAAGACAGTATGAGATAGTTTAGTGTGTTAGAATGAGACAGTGTGAGATAGTTTAGTGTGTTAGAATAAGACAGTGTGAGATAGTTTGGTGTATTAGAATGAGACAGTATGAGATAGTTTGGTGTGTTAGAATGAGACAGTGTGAGATAGTTTGGTGTATTAGAATGAGACAGTATGAGATAGTTTGGTGTATTAGAATGAGACAGTATGAGATAGTTTAGTGTGTTAGAATGAGACAGTGTGAGATAGTTTGGTGTATTAGAATGAGACAGTATGAGATAGTTTGGTGTATTAGAATGAGACAGATCTAGACAGTATATGTGTCAGAATATTCAAGTTCGGTCCTGAGTGGGAGATGAACTTTGCAAATTATATGTAAACTGTAACAGTAGCTTAGTGCACTTCAGTTGACATCAGCATATTATATTACACCATGAACCAAGTGAACAGTCCTTGTAGTTTAAGTGAAAGAGGCTGTCATGGAATAAAGCTTCGAGTGTAAAGACGAGGGTGGTTCATGCACATTTTCTTCTTTGTTATTATTTTCCTTTACAATGTTCCCTCTCAGGCTCCACCCACAAGTGCATTCATTTGTATGCCGGACACACTTAGGAAATGTCAGGAGTGTGATGTGGCTCTATATAGATTTACCACCAGTAAATGACCACAGACCCATTAATTAAATAGAATAAGGTTTCAAATGACTTTTAAAAGTTCATAAAGTGCTTTACTGATGGGATTATTCCTTCAAAGTGTTCTGTATGTTTTTGTTTTCTTTTTTTCCTGTTTGCGTTTTGCGTTTTCATAGTATTTTCATCCTGAACCCTTTAAATTACAGGCTTACAATTCTGTTAATTAGACCTGTATGATAACATAATCGTATCGTGATTGTATCGATTGATACCGATGGTTTTGTATGCTTTAAAATACACAAATATCATTTTTAACTTTTCATTATTCTATTCCATTTCTTTTTCTCTGTCTGCTTTTATTTTATATTTTTTGTTGTTTTTCACTCTTAAGCACTTCTGTTTGTTTTTTCTTTTGATTTTTTTGGTTTTGTTTTTTTTTTTATGCACATAAAGCACATTTCATCCAAAAAGGCGATTCAAAGCTCTTTAAAATCTGTTCTGTAACTAAACTGAAGCCAGTGTAGATATTTTAGAGCTGTGGTAATGAGCTCTGCTCTCCTGGTCCTGGTTAAAACTCAAGCAGCAGTTAAACTGGTTCTGATAACTGATAATTGCAGTTGGCGTTAAAGAATGAAAAGCATTTACAATTTAGGAATCCTGAATCGTAATAAGTGCATTACTCACAGGTCCAGTTCAGCCTTTTGTTCCTGTCAAGAGACAAAATGCTTTTATGCTCAGTCACACCTTATTCAAACTTTTCAGCACTTTCTTCAAGCAGCCAAAAGTTACTTAGCTGTCAAAGAAAGAAAAAGAGTGACACTGTGTTTATTTTTTACAAACCACGAACACCACAAACACTTAGAGGTCAGGAAATATACACCTGCCTTTTTTAATGCAAAGAAACCCAATTAATTGAGTCAGAAACAATTCAGAGGTTTTATTTCTTCATTTTTCTGCCTTTTAATGAGTTCTTTTATGGTCTGTTAGCTTTAGCTTTCTGTTTATATATATTTTTTTACTTTTATTAATAATTATCCTATTGTATCTGAGAGAACTGCCTCTTAAATTCATTTATGAACGAACATGAGATGTATGTCTAACCCATCCTCCACTAAAAGCATTGCTACTGCTGTGAAATAATGACTACAGTAAAAGTACAAGAACAAAACAGCTCTAAAAACCACTTAAGCACTGAGAAACATGAAGAACTGCAGTAGAACTTCGTAGTAAATCCAACAGTGGTGAACTGTTGTTATTAGTGCTGAGCTTTTAGGGACTTAAATGTCAAAAAACAAGAAAAAACACATTTACAACAATGCTAATTTCTCTGAACCTCCCTATTGGCTTTTTTCTAGATTATTTGAATCTTGTAACAGACATTATCAGATATCTGAGTTTGTGTGTATCAGTGTTACAGTGACTCTTTCAGTAAAGAGTTCTGATATAGAGCTGCTGCCGCTGTTTTCCATTCCTAACAACTAAACAGAATCTGCTTAGACTCATATTCACAGTCAGTGACTTATCTAGAACTTTGAGAAGGACAAGAGAGACTTTTTTATGTACAAAACTGGTCCCATTGTAAACCAAAGCATGATTGGTTGATTCCTCTGTCACTTCATTATTATGTTGGTAGTGTAAGGCCTTCAGTCCAGCTCCTGAAGTCCTGACCAATGGGAAAGCTAGCTTGTCTGTGTCCAGGGGTTTTTGCAGAATGGAAGATCCCACGCAACATATAGGACTGGCCAACTCTGTGAGCTCAGTTTAAAATGCCCATGATAGAAGAGCATGCTAGCTAATTTCAATGTGTTTCTGGTGCATTCTCAAAAAAAAAAAAAAATAAATAAATAGTTCCCCCAAAACCCCCCAGCCATTAACACCCCTGCTTGTATCTGCCTAGACACTGCAGAGAAAGAAATCCTGATTGAACAATTTTCTGTTCGCCATTTCAGGATTTAAACTCTTCAGTTCCAAAATGTAGCACTGAAATTTCTACAATAATTGCAGAGTTTAAATACAACAAGCATAATGATTCTATTAAACAATAATCAACTAAAAACCTCAGACATGTATTTTTTAAGGCCTACAAAATCATCAGACCATCTGAAGATCTCAAAGGCCCTAACAGTTCCAAAGACATCCAGTACCTCTCAGCAAAACCTCAGGTGCCTAAACCTCTCAGGAACTGAAGCTTGTTAAGCTCTTCACTTTCTGTGAGAGGAGTGATCAACAGTTCAGCAGCTGAACCGACAGTCAACCAACAAAGAATGAAATAAAACCCCAGAGAAGGAAAAAGGAACCAATATTAATGACTAAAACAACAGATCTAGTTTCTCGTCAGCGTTTCTTTCTATTCTAAAACAGGACTCCTTATCAGGTCCCCGATCATGTTCTCTACATTATACTCACACTGACTCAGAGTTCGTGTCATCAGACCACATGACTGAGACGAAGCCTGGTTTTATTTACACAAGACGCATTCAGACAGAAAGAGACCAAACCTTTCCAGATCAGGAGGTTCATCTGGCTGAACAGAACTCAGCTGATGTGTCAAAGCCAAAGATCAGCAATATAACTTAACCAGCTTTTCTGTATGTTTATTTTACTCACTTGAACACATATCTGTTCATAAACAACACATTCTGTGTCTAACTGGACACGTTTTGTGTTACTGTTAACACAAAGTGTGTTGAAATATTTCTGTGTCCAGTTTTGGAGACCGCTAAATTCAATTACTGATATTTTACACGTTTTACATGTTCCTGGTTCTGCAGGGCTCTATTGACGTTCTACAGATTGGTAAAATCAGTGTTCTCTGAGAGACCTAATTCGAGGCCAAAGCACCAACAAAATAAAGCCTAAAAACATCACAGTCACTTCTTATAGGTTCTTCAGAAAATAGGCCAGTCATTTGAGCGTGGGTGTGTCTGTAGCAGAAATCCCACCCCCTCCCAACCCACTTTAATCTGATCACTGATTGTGGTTTCCAAGGAATGTGATAAACAGGACGCACTGACGCAAGGGTTCCACTAATATTACAAGTATATTTACATACACAATATAGATTTGGAATATATGTAATAATATATACAAGAAGTATGATATTATATGCAAATTAGTGGATAAGTATTACATATATATTGTTAAAGGTCTATATACATATCTATACATTTGTATATATTCTGTGGAGAGACGCACTGAAGAGAAAGCTTTATATATGTATATATATATATATATATATATATATATATATATATATATATATATATATATATATATACACACTATCCTCAAGAACCCTTATATATATTAGATATATATATATATATATATATGTTATATACAGATTATATATATATATATATATACAGACTATCCTCGAGAACCCTTATATATATATATATATATATATATATATATATATATATATATATATATATATATTTTACTTTCTACTTTTTTTAACAATATTTTTCTCAGCACTAAACATATAAGCTTAAACTCTTCAAAACTCAACTGCTGGAAATACAGACACTGAATAAGACTGCATATGAATTGTATGTAAGACTTGCATATGCATATCTCTTTAGCTCCTTGTACACTGACTCTTCATTATTCCTTATTCTATTTATTGTGTTTTTATTGTGTTTGTCTCTCAGTTTAATCCTCGTGAACAGTCTGTGTTTGTCTGATCTGTTCAGTGTGTTACGTGTGTGACTGACCGAGACTGATTCCTTGTATATGTAACATACTTGGTGAAATAAAGTGATTCTGATTCTGGATTAAGTCTCTTTTAGAGCAGAGAGGAAGAAGTTCACAAGTTAAAATATACATACGTGAACAAACAAGCAAGTCATTTACATGCAAGCTGAGTTTACTGCACCTCAGATGTGTCAGCAGACGCTGCGCTCCTTTAAGAGGCTTGGGGGCGTGGCCTAAGTACATACCCGTTCTCCTGTGGGAGGGGCTTGAGAGGCTTAAAAAGTCAGACAGAGACACTCTGAGCCCATTGCCCACAGAGAGGGAGAGAGGGAGAGAGAGACACAGTGGAATAGAACAGTTTGGATCCAACAGCACAGCTCAAAATGTGAGTACAGCAGCTCTTCCAGCTCCATTTGACCTCCTTCATTATTTCATTTTAGCAGGAAAGTTCTAAAAAGGGTGACAGCATGATAGTAGAACCAGTTTTGGTTCCCTAAAGAACCTTTCAGTTGATGGCTCTTTAAACAAATGATGTTTGTACATGACCTGTGTGAGTGCGCAGAACCTTTCTAAAGCTTACAGAACCTCTACATCATGTAACAGTTCTGTACCCATTAAAGGATCTCCCTAGAACCCTGTAGCCAGGCCAGGAACCATCTAGGAACTTTTATTTTTAAGAGTAACACTGGTTTCATATAGATGTACTATAGTATACTATCTACGCTATAGTAATATATACCATATATTTTAGCAAAAAAGGTTCTGTATGTTCTTTTTTCCCTTTTTATGTGCTATATATAATAATATATAATAATAATTTTTACAAAGGTTCTTTAAAGAACCACATATAGAGCAGGTTTATAAATGACATCCATTTATGAACAGCAGATGTACGATTACTAATAGACACTCTTGGCAAAAAGGGTTCTATATAGCTCCAAAACAAGTTCTATGATTTGAACTCTTTTTAAAGCTATACAGAACCTTTTTGGAAAAGGTTCTTTACAGTATTCAACAGGTTCTGTCATGGAGAATTACCTTTTAAACCATGAAAAGAAGCATTCATGCATTTAAATGGTTCTTTGAGTGATCACGGTCCTAAATATAACCACTGCATTTGCTAAAGAACCCTTGAAGAACCAATTTTAGTGGAATACAACTGAGTCTACGTAAAAAGTGTGTTGATATGTGTCACAGTTCTCAGACGTTGCGCTGCTGTAATGTATTTTATTTAGATTCAAATGATGTCTTCAGTTCAAAACACTGTTTCTCTCAGTGCTCAGGCTGCAGCCAAACTAACAGAGAGGCAATAAAAGTTTTGCATAATTTGGATATTAAAACAGATTAATCAGTAATGAACAGTTGATAAGGCTGGTTTCTATGTGAAGGCAAAGCTGGTGGTTAACGCTGCTAAAGCCTCGCGGGACCCTACACACCCCCTCACTTCCCCACCAGCTTGTTCACCTCCGTTTTATTACCAATTACAGTCCAAATACATTCAAAAACTCAATACGCCTGTTTTACTGTGGCTCCGAAAGGCATGATGTGTTTGTTTTCAGTTGCATTTATGAAATTTACTTTGTTGTAGTGGTGGAGTGATGATGATTAACTCAGTTAAGAATAGTTTAGTTTAGAATAAACTTTATGGTTCTAATGAACTACTTGTTATTTTTGATTATTACACATTTACTAAGCAAATTGTCACTAAAATAAAACGTGTGCTCGTATTTATGTATAATTATGCACTGCCATTCAAAAGTTAAAGATTTTTGTCATGTTAATCCTTTTTGTGCTTTTATATAAAATAATAACTTCAAAATTGTTCTATTCAATATTATTTTATATACTGTAATACTGTATTTACATAATGACAGAGTCCCAAATTTATAGTTTTCTCATTTCGTAGTCATTTTAGTATCATGTCCAGCTCTGTTCCTCATTCTGCATGTCTAAAATGTCTTAAACGCCTTAATTATTTACAGCTTCCTATGAATTATTTTAAACATGTGGAGTATTCGCATCATATTAGAGCCACTTTATACACTTATCTGGACCAGAGTTGGTTTTGAGTGCTTCTATAACTATTGATTTTCTCTATGGAGATCAATAAAGTTATCTTATATCATCTTATCTTACCGACTGGTAATACTACACACATTTATGAGTAAATATACTGTTTTCAAAAGAGCTCTTTGTTAATATTGACCAGGAAACTAAACGTGCCAGCTGTTACCAGACGCTCTGAAGACGTCTAAAAAGCAGGAATCATAGATATTTTGTAGATTTCATTTATGGATCGTCCTTCATCGTAGTGAATGCAAGTGTTCTGTTAAAGCATGTGAGTCTGTGTTTGTCATTATATGGACTTTTCAGGCTTTTTTTAATGATTATCCTACATTACCTGAAGGAAATGCCTCTAAGTTGGATCTCTGAACTGTGTAGCATGAGCTCAAATGAATTCAGTAACTCATATGGAACATATTATAACATATTATAGTTGCACATTAAAGTTTGAACACCCCTGGTCAAATTCCATGTTTTGTTGATTTTCTAGGTGAAAATAAGTAAATAACGTTAATTGTTTACTCCTAGAAAATCAACATGATCAGGGTGCCCAAACTTTTGCACAAGAGTGTCTTTCGAGCACACATTTGTAAACCCATAGTGCTCACACACCTGCCCCCCCCCCACCTATATGGGGGTAACCTTTCATAATTATATATATTTATATATATAATATATATATTTTTATTCAGTAATAACTCATACAGTGTAGTTTGAAATGCTATACATTAGACAGCAAAACCTAAACTTTAAAAAACACTTTATTTACAATTTACAATATTTTGGGGACAACATAAAGTTACAACATGATAAAAAAGGAAATTGTTAATAAATAATAAAGCAAATTAATAATAATAATAATAATAATAATAATAATAATAATAATAACTAACTTTAAACAAAGTTATATAAATAATTAAAAATTCTGTTTATTGGTATTTGTCACAAAAACAGCTGTTTATTTAGTGAGATTTGGTTATCGGTTTTGTATATATATATGTATATATATATATATATATATATATATATATATATATATATGTATATATATATATATATATATATATATATATGTGTGTGTAGTGTACGTATATACAGTAAAGGCAGTGGTTATATATATAGAACCGTGACCCCTCAGTGAAATACCTGAATGCATAAATGTTTTTTTTCATGGTTAAAAGGTTATATGACAGGGTTCTATATAGCAATAAAAAGGGTTCTGATTTTTAGTCACAGAGCCTTTTTATGGTCCTATGTAGAACCCTTTTTGCTCTGAGTATCATTTATGAATGGATGTAATTTATTCACAAAGTATTTGTTGCAAATCCTGTCCTCTTAACGGTTCCTTTGCTCGTTCCCACAAGGATGACCACCAGGGACCGCTGGCGAGTGTACAAGACGGCGGGCCTGATGTTCTTCTTGGCCGTGGTGATGCTGACTGTATTCCAGAGAGGCACGCTCAGCTCCGAAGATCAGTTCCAGATCGAGCGGCAGCTGCGGATGGAGACTCCGGTGGAGGAAGCCGTGCAAAGGATGGGATTATACCGACGTCCAAACAGTTTCTGGAAGAAACATCAACGAAGAGTGGAGGCCAGCACCGAGGAACCACACGTCACGCTGAACAGAGGAGCTAAAACCTGGGACATCACCAGCTCCAACTGCAGCGCCAACCTGAACTTCACTTCTACTGACTGGTTTGCCGGTTTGGAGGCCAATTTCCGGCAGTTCCTGCTCTACAGGCACTGCCGATACTTCCCAATGCTACTCAACCACCCAGAGAAGTGCTCGGGCGACGTCCACCTGCTGATGGTCATCAAATCGGTCATTTCTCAGCACGACCGCCGGGAGGTCATCAGGCAAACGTGGGGCAAGGAGCAGGTGATAAATGGCAAGAAGATCAAGACCCTCTTCCTTCTGGGCACCTCATCCATAGAAGTGGAGAGGGCCAACCACCAGAAGCTTCTGGAGTTTGAGGATTACATCTACGGAGACATCCTGCAGTGGGACTTCATGGATAGCTTCTTCAACCTAACCCTGAAGGAGACCCACTTTCTGAAATGGTTCTCCACGTACTGCGGGAACGTCCGTTACATCTTCAAAGGGGACGACGACGTGTTTGTTAGTGTGCAGAACATCCTAGAATACCTGGACAGCAGCGCAGATGTGAAAAACCTGTTTGCTGGAGACGTTCTCTTTAAGGCCAGGCCCATCCGGAAGAAGGAGAACAAGTACTACATTCCGCAAGCCCTGTATAATAAGACCTACTACCCTCCCTATGCAGGAGGGGGCGGATTTTTGATGGACGGACCAATAGCCCGGAAGCTCTACTTAGTCTCCGAGACTCTGGAGTTGTATCCCATCGATGACGTTTTCCTCGGAATGTGCTTGGAGGTTCTTCAGGTGACGCCCATAAAACATAACGCGTTTAAGACTTTCGGGCTGGTGAAGAATAAAAGCAGCAAGTTGAACAAGGAGCCCTGCTTCTTTAAGAGCATGATAGTGGTACATAAACTTCTCCCTCGGGACCTCCTGGCCATGTGGAGACTGGTCAACAGTGACCTGGTTTGTGCCCAGAAAGTGGAATCTTTATAGCGACAGACTGGATGGGTAAAGAAGGACTTCGGAGAACTTCTGAACTTTGAGTCATGCTCAAATGAACGTACTCCTGTTTTGAGGAGATTTTAAATTATGTACTGTAGCAAATGGAGACGAATGCTGTGTGTTGGGGGCCAAACGTGTGGAATTGCGAAAGCTATTTATGGGAAGGACGTAGAGAAGGACATTATGCTGCTAATAGTGGTATCACTGAGTACTGATTTTTGAATGTACTAGGGCTGACCTGATCATTTAAATACTTAAGTATTTGTTTCTTAGAATTCAAAGCTTAATTACAAAAACTGTAGCCTAAACTACAACTTGTCTTATCCAGCCTTAAAAAAAGAAATGATGTACAGAAAATATTTAAGATAAGCGAATTCTCGCAATATTGCATGGAAACACTATTCAGTACAGAGTTTATGACAAATTATGAGGTATTCACTGTATAGCTGGGCTACAGATCTACTTTTTGTTCTCAGTGCTGCTTTTCATGAAAAAACCCTAGCAACACCTTAGCAATCACCTGGGATACCACCATAGCAACGGCTAACAATATCCTAGCAACACCCTAACAACACCCTAGCAAGAACCTAGCAGCACCCTAGCAACCACCTGGGATATTATAGCAGCTGTCTAGCAACACCTTAGCAACCACCTAGCAACGCCTTAGCAACCACCTGGAATACCATAGCAACCACCTTAGCAACCATCTGGGATACCATAGTAAAAACCTAGCAACACCCTAGCAACCACCTGGCAACACCTTAGCAGCCACCTGGGATACCATAGCAACAACCTAACAACACCCTAGCAACAACCTAGCAGCACACTAGCAACCACCTGGGATACCATAGCAACAACCTAGCAACACCCTAGCAACCACCTGGAATATTATAGCAATTGTCTAGCAGCACCCTAGCAACACCCTAGCAACCACCTGGAATACCATAGTAACCACCTAGCAACACCTTAGCAACCACCTGGGATACCATAGCAACACCTTAGCAACCACCTAGGAACACCTTAGCAACCACCTGAGATACCATAGCAACAACCCAGCAACACCCTAGCAACAACCTTACAACACTGTAGCAACCACCTGGGATACAATAGCAACCACTTATTAACACCCTAGCAGCCACCTGGGAACTGCTTAAGCTGCACAGTCACTCTGCATTTTCTTCAGGAAGTGCACTTTTCTAGTTATGAAAATATTTTTGTTTTTAGGGGTGATTTCAGGAACCAACAAATATTGAAAGCCTGTAAACTGCTGTTCAGGTCAGCCCTAGAATGTACATAAAAAAGAGAACATGTTCATAAAACATCTCAAAACAGGAGAAAACAAAGCGTCTCTACCTCACTAAGTTAGTCTGGGATCCTGAGTCGGTGAACATTCCCAACCTTGTTTACTGGAGTGCGTTCTGTGATATCCACTGCCTGTTACTGTCTGTTGGTTTATATTAATGCAGTGTAAGTCCTGAAAGGTTTACTGCGCCCAGTTCAGCCTGGTCTGAGCCCGGACACGGACTTCTGACAGCATGTTTAACTGTAAATATGAAAAACGAATGAAGATAAACTATGATATGATATGAACTGTACACAGTGATTTAAATGTGATGACACTTGAGCTGAATCTGGTAAAGGCTGTACTTTAAAACTGTGAAACTAAGGACTGCTGGTACATTTAAATGAAGACTCTGCGTCAGGGGTAAAAGGGTGTGTCGGGTGTATGATATTTAATGTTCCTTTAAAATTCGCACCTTCTTAATCCAGATTGTTTAGGGTGACAATGACTTGAAATTACTGACAATACATAAATCGACAAGAATGTGGAAAGTGAAATTTGTAAATAAAGGTTTAAAAATCACTCCAGTGTGTTTTTTTCCTCTCCTTGGGTCAGATTTTTCCACTTTGGTGTCACTTTGAAACAAACTGAACTGTAACCCTCACTGAGAGGAGGAGGCCAGTGTGCATTTAGACTTTCTGATATTAATATTTATTCCAGTCGATATTTGATTTGATTCAACTTATACACAGTATCTGGGGCTGAATTCACAAAAGTGTCTTAAGAAAGAAAATCTTAAATGTGCGTTTTTTAATTTCATTCTTAAGAAAAAAGTTACGTAAAGTTGTTATTCTTTTAATAACTTCTTAAGAACTTTTTTTTCTTAACTTTTTTTCTTAAGAATAATTTTAAGAACAGGTGGTTTTCTTGAAAGCTTTCTTAAATGTTTTCTTAACCTTACGACAGACTCACACGTGTCTGAGGCTGGAAGAGTTGACAAGATTTCTAAATCTATGATCAAACTCTGATGCAACTGTCTAGCAACAAACTAGCAACACCCTAGCAACCACCTAGCAACATCTTAGCAACCACCTGGCATACCATAGCAGCCACTTATTAACACCCTAGCAACCACCTAGCAACATCTTAGCAACCACCTGGCATACCATAGCAGCCACTTATTAACACCCTAGCAACCACCTGGGATACCACAGCAACCAGCTAGTGACACCGCAGCAACCACATAGCAACACCTTAGCAACCACCTGGGATACCATAGCAACCACATAGCAACACCTTAGCAACCACCTGGGATACCACAGCAACCACATAGCAACACCTTAGCAACCACCTGGGATACCATAGCAGCCACTTATTAACACCTTAGCAACCACCTAGCAACATCTTAGCAACCACCTGGCATACCATAGTAGCCCCTTATTAACACCCTAGCAACCACTTGAGATACCACAGCAACCAGCTAGTGACACCTTAGCAACCACATAGCAACACCTTAGCAACCACCTGGGATACCATAGCAACCACATAGCAACATCTTAGCAACCACCTGGGATACCATAGCAGCCACTTATTAACACCCTAGCAACCACCTAGCAACATCTTAGCCACCACCTGGCATACCATAGTAGCCCCTTATTAACACCCTAGCAACCACCTGAGATACCACAGCAACCAGCTAGTGACACTGCAGCAACCACATAGCAACACCTTAGCAACCACCTGGGATACCATAGCAACCACATAGCAACACCTTAGCAACCACCTGGGATACCATAGCAGCCACTTATCAATCAGCTGGGAACAAAAAGTTATGGAAAATTGTTATTCTTCAAATAACCTAAGTTCTTAAGAACTTTTTTTCTTAACTTTTTTCTTACGAATAATTGTAAGAACGGGTTTTATTCTTGAAAACGACAGCCTCACGTGTCTCAGACTGTAAGAGTTGACTAGATTTGATCTAAATCGATGATCAAACTCCGACGCTTTTCCTGTCGACTGTTTCTTCCTCCATCACTTCTGGATCTTGTTTGCTAAAATATTTTAAATGTTTGGTTTGATGTTTTTCCTCCATTTTGCTCCTTGAGTGGATTAAACTAAATAACCAAATTCAAAATGTATCTCGATGTTAATGTTAAGCTGTAAAACGCAACACAGACAACATAAGAAAACAATAAACATATAGAGAATATTAAGGGAATATTTAAGATGATCTAAGACAGTGTCTGAGAACTTCTTAAGTTTTTTCAAGAATTGCATTTAAGAAGTTTTGGCTTCTTATGAAGAAATACCTTCTTAAAATCTGTTTACACGGTTTTGACGAAGCCTCATTCACCAATGTTCTCTTAGAGATCCTGATTCTTCAACGTTCTCCTATTTGAGATTTGTTCTTAGGTAAGAACAGAATCTACACACACTCAAGAGCACAAAGGTGAGAACAGTTCTGCGCTTTAAGAACACGTCATGAATCTGACGGAGACTTTTTCTTAGGACCTTTCTCAGGAACACACTTAAGAACGAACTTAGGATGTTTTCTTTTAGGCAGAACCATGAACACTCAAAGAACTATTTGCATGCTTCAATGGTTCGTTGCACAGTGAAATGGTTCTTCAGATGGAGAATGTGCTGTGTATGTAAATGGTTCAACACCAAAAAAGATTTTGCTACTGAAATGAAGTCAAGCTTGTAACAATAAAAAACCCCTTTTTGGTGCTAACAGACTTAGAAAGATACTGGAGAGTGAGGCCAAATGTTCTTAAAAAAAAAAAAAACAAAACAAAACTTTAGAAGTTCTCAAATATTCTCTCGAGAACATTTTAACCATCTGGGCTCCACAAACTCACCTGTGCATCAGATTCTCTGTCTCTATATCTGTGTCTGTATCTTTGTGATGATCCAGCTCAGAAAACCAGTTCAAACACTTCCTGAATCTGTAGAGTCGCCCTTTCTATTCCATCTTACCACAAACCAAGGCAACCAATCAGAACACAGCTCATTTACATATATCAGTCCTAAAGGTACAGAATGTTTCTTTCTAAGGGATAAAAAGAGGTTGGAACAAGGTCATGTAAAATGATCTATGATTGTTTTGTGAAATAAAAGCTCAGAAACATTGTGTGAGAAATAAGATAATAAGGTAAAAAGCAGGATATGGGCCCTTTAACGCTGTTCAGATGCTGTTTGTATGTGGCCTGACACGGAAATGGGTTAAAATAGTGATAACCACACGCAGCTCACTAAAACCTCGACGCTAAACAGTGGAAAAGTGTTAATGTTATGCTGAGCTGAACAACCGTAGCACTGATATCACACCAGCTGTTTCCTCTTCATTCAGACCCTCGGTGTCGCTGTTTGAGGGCAACGACAGGCTCGCTGTGTCAGGACCGAGCGGATGAGTCAGAGGAACCAGGCGGAAAAGGTTGTAAAGGCCTGCACTGAACAGATTTGTAATAAATCAAACTGCTTATCTATCATAAATTCTTTCCTAATTACTGTTACAGTAACTGTTACATCTTATTGGTAGTCTTATCTCTGCCCTTCACTGTAACATTAAATATCACAGTCATCACAACAAATCATGCTGTGATGTCATAATGGTTATTTCTGATTCGTCGTTCACTGAAAGGAGCGGAGAAACTGTGGAAAGCGCAGATTCTAAACTGTCGATCCGTTCTTTGCGTGGTGAAATGGTTCTTCAGATGGAGAATGTGTTGTGTATATAAATGGTTCAACACCAAAAAAGATTTTGCTACTGATACAAAGTCAAGCTTGTAACAATAGAAAAACCCTTTTTGCTGCTATCTAGAACCTTTTTCAATTAGGTTCTACATATGACCATGTACAACACATTATGTATCAAAACTAAAGAACCCTTTCGGAATGCAACGAACCCTTTAAGCATGCAAATGGTTCTTTGAGTGTTCATGTATCAACACAGAACCATCGGTCCTCATTCACCATCCATTCCTAAGAAGAAATTTCGGTAACACTTTCTATGAATGTCGCATTTGTAAGCATCTATAAACACATTTATAACATGTTATAATGTATTCATAAGGCATTATAAACGTGGTTGTAAATATTAAAAAAAAAATTACACTGAATTACACTTTATAGCCAGGTTTATTATACATTATGAATTGTTAATATAATGCATTATAAATAGTGTTAATAACATGTTATAATGTCAGTGCCAGAGAAGTCAGTCCCAGCTTGGAGAGCGTAAAGTAAAGACAAATACCAAGCTAACGGTGGTGAACATTACCTTTCCCACATTGGGTAAAACACTGATGGCAGCTCTAGTTTAAACTCTGACATTTGAAGCCTGTAATGTGCTTTACTGTGAATGTTTTAG